AATAATACACATCATGATGCAAAGTGCATAAATTGTTTGCATTACCACCTCTTATCTCTGAACCTCTACACAGTCAACCTTATTAGCATAATATGTTTCAAAAAGGCATTAATTTAGGCATTGTCTCACAAAGCACAGTGGTGCTATTATTAATCGGAGAAAAATATGCTTTAAAAATAATGTTACATATCTGCATGAGTTTACCAGGAAAAATATTAGTTCAACGGCTTTGCATGCATGGGGAAAATCTATGTAGCGCGCAAGTTTAAACTTGCATGCGCAATTTGTAGCAAGGAAATTAATGCACGCGCAAGTTTAAACTTGGGTGCGCGCTGGTTTAAACTTGCTCGCGCAAGTTTAAACTTGCGCGGGGGACTCAAATTGCGCTCGACAAGCATACTCACCCTCTTTATAGGCTAATCAGAAAGTGCTGCCTTTTTCTAATTTTCCTGAAATTTCATATTGAAATTTTGATACGCAAACGGTTGTAAACGAATCTGGAAATTTCACGAAAAATAAACATCTGAATAAGGCTGCACTTTTTGATTAGCCTATAAAGGGGGCGAAAATGCTTCTAAAGCCAAAAAACCTACAAACTAAATGTGAAAATCAAAATTTGACAAAGTTCGACATGTTTTTGTACATGGTGGAAGTGTGGCCTTTATTTACGGAGGTAGTCCAGTAAATTGGCCACATTTATGGGGCTACCATTGAATGAAACTCGAATGTTAGTACGGTCTGACTGAACTGACGAATGATCGACCTCTCTACTGATTTTCTTGTAAAAAGTGAGAGGAACAGTGGTGTTGTTGATAATCAACAGTGGGAGTCGAGTGCACGCAACGCCAGCAAATGGCAATGCCAGCAGCATATAGCCAGCAAACAAAAAAAATTGATACATATTTTAATCTACACACACGTCCATTGTTGGGGGGGGGGGGGGAGTTGGGGGAGGGGGGAGTGGGGGGGAGAGGGAGCATGATGCTACATTGGTAGACCCTTCAAAACTACGCGATCTTACTTCTACATAGCCCCATAAATGTGGGGCACTGAGCCAATCTCGCAAAGATTATGATCGATCGATGAATTTTGGTTTGCTCGATCGGAGCGCGCCGTGGGGGTACGGTACTTGCACTTGTAGCATGCCCATACTACTATCATTTCGCATGTATCGTACCCCCCGCGGCGCGCTCCGAGCCAACCGAAAATCATCGATCGATCATAATCTCTGCGTGCACGTTTTAAGTGTCAGATTGGCTCAGTGCGGAAAGGGCATATTTTTCATCATTTTGGCCTAAAAACCGACAGAATCCAGCGATGTTTGTTAGGCGCACATAACGTGAGTATGTCATTAGGTATTGTACGAAGTTTAGGGGCAAACTGTGCTGCAGTTCCGTGGGAAACGTCTCTGTTTTTATGGACATTTTTGCACTTCATTGGTGTTTTGTGCTGCAAACAATTTTGCGGGGTTCTGTGTCTATGAGGCTCCGTTCACGCGGAGCATCATAGTTCTAGGAGTAATCACAGGGCACTTGATTGGTCACCGTGGAGACGCTCAATCGAGATGCCATGATATTGGCCCATTGAGGCGACCAATTGAGGTGACCAATCAAAGTGCCCTGTGGATGGTCTGTCTGATGCTGGGGGGGGGGGGGGCAGTCCTGGATGCAACAGTGGTGGTGCTCAATCTCTGTAGCGTCCATGGGTGTCAGTTGGTTAGGGACGGGGGGTGGGGGGAGGGGGGCAGTCCAACTTTTTTAGCCCCGAAAAAAACACTCTGACCACGGTTCTATGGTGCAACAAATTTATTGAAATCACGTACTGATGTGAAGCAGTGTAATAACAAATAAAAACCTAGTCATGGTGACTGACTCACTTGAAGTTATTGACACATTTAAAAAAGGCAAAATCAATTCCGTGTGAGCCACTTCAATGAAAATGGCATAACTCCTCACCGCGCCACTAATATGAAAAATTAAAAATTTCTGTGGAAGATAATGTGATGACCTTTTATATACATGTAACACGCTCATTTTTTTTCTCAATATACTCTTTTTGCTACAAAAAAAATGGTGAACTTGGATCCAGATCATTCTGTACAGTTCCGGATCATCGACAGTTCCAGATCATTTGATTAAATAAAATTAATTAAATTGTAACCAAATTTTTTTGTGAGATTTTTTTCCCCGAATTTAAAGGTCTATCATTTTGCAATTGGCAGGGAATTTTTTTTTTTAAACATAATTACCCACGATCCAGTTCGGCAAAATGTCCGCTTGTTTTGTAACTGGCCTGTGAAAGGAAGCGCGCGTAAAGGCAAAATTCTGGTTTCCTCTGGAACGTATCGGTAGCCAACATTCATCGTTTTTTCGTTACTGTATTAGGTTTTCTTGTAAGGAAATAATCTCAAGCATCACTGAGTAATAGTGATTTTGGCATTTGAATTAAATTAATTGCCGTATTTGCCGAAAGATTTTTATCCCCACGAGCGACAGTTGTGGATCACCCATGCACACGATGCAGTATTGTGTGCAGTTTAGATGATGAAGGCGTAACACTCGATGCTTGCGCACTGAGCGCGCTGTGAAAGATGAATTTGTACATGTACCAGGTAGCACAGCGTGCATGATCAGGAACTGTCAAAAGTGATCCGCAACTGTCGGGATCAGTCCTGTACAAAAGCCATGATTTATTTCCCTTTAAGTTGAGTCTGTGTGAACATATTTGGTTTTAACTTGAAGACGAGGAATTTACGAAATGATGTCACTCGGAAACTCTGAACGTGGGCGGGTGTAAGCGGTTTGTATAAAAAAAGTGATCCAGAATTGTCACACTGATAGTATTTTGCTCAAAGAAATTGCCTCTGATTGCACCACAGGGTGTCTAGAATTCAAACATTTTCGGGGCCCTTAATCGGACCCCGCACCCCACGTCTTTAGGGCTTCGCGCTTTGTGCTCGCATTACCTTTGATCAAGGTATGTCCCCCATCCCCCCCCCCCCCACTTTTGAGAAGTGATTGGTGCCCTTGGTAGCATCCATGCTGAGTAGACAGGTTTATTTTCACTGCAGTGGATATCGTTACAACGGCATGTACTGATGCTGTACGGGCCCCTCTTTTAGTTTTGATCAAATTAGAGTGTGTTTTATCATTCAAAAATGTCCTTTTCAACCTCAAGCAGACTTCTCAGTTCTCTCAACTCTAATGACATATTTTTTGTAATTTAAAAAAAAAAATCAATTCCGTGTGAGCCACTTCAATGAAAATGGCATAACTCCTCACCATGCCACTAATATGAAAAATTCAAAATTCCTGTGAAAGACAAGGTGATGACCTTTCATATGACACGCTTTTGTTTTCTCAATATACTCTATTTGCCACAAAAAAATGGTGAACTTGGATCCAGATCATTCTGACTCACCCTGTACAGTTCCAGATCATCAACAGTTCCAGATCATTTGATTAAATAAAAAATTAATTGAATTATAACGAAATTTTTTGTGAGATTTTGGCAGGGATTTTTTTTTAAACAGAATTACCCACGATCCAGTTGGGCAAAATGTCCGCTTGTTTTGTAACTGGCCTGTGTAAGCGCGTAAAGGCAAAATTCTGGTTTCCTGTGGAACGTATCGGTAGCCAACATTCATCGTTTTTTCGTTACTGTATTAGGTTTTCTTGTAAGGAAATAATCTCAAGCATCACTGAGTAATAATGATTTTGGCATTTTAATTAAATTAATTGCTGTATTCGCAGCAATTTTGGGTAGAAATAATATTTTTTTTACGCGGTTTAGGTAGAAATTATAGTGATTTTTGTACGCGATTCAGCTTTCCTGATGGACATCAGCAATCATCCAGATGACATTTCAGGCTTGCAGTTTGCAGTCATTGAACCCTAATATCTTAGTTTATTCGTAAGGAGCCTTTCTGATTTCTTAAAACCTGGCTCTGAGCAGGAAACCAAAAGACACAATTCACAAAAGGCCCATTGTCCTCTACCTTTCTCAATCCTTAAAGAAAAAATCCTCCCAAACTGTCAGTGACATACAGAACTCTAAAAAAAAACAACCTTGGCAAGGTTATTAGAGTGGGACTCGAACCCATGACCTCCTGCTATTTAACCGCTGGATTATCCAACTTGAGGCTTTGAAATCTGTTCTAAAATGTTTTTCTTTAATTTGCGGCTGGATTTGTTGGTGAAAGCATCAGGGCTTTGTGCAGGAACTGACAGGTTGAAGATGAAATTTCAGGTATGTACTTTTTTCAACATACCGGTATTTGGAACAATTTTATTGGACCGTTACATTGGCTATTAAATAAAATGGTTCCTAGGCTTGATGCCTTTGTAGAGTTGGTCCAGACATTAGTGCCAGTTTTAAAATGTAGGCCTACTTCCAAATAATCATTCCAGCAGTTTTTAGTTGCATTTTTTATTATAATTTTTCTTAATGCCAATATTACAATATGTCAGTAGATATATTTGCTGTATCATGTATGTTTAATTGTTCATATCATTCCAAGCTATGCAGGCCTATACATGTGTTGACTTAAGGCTCAAAGGTGAATTAATTTGCATTGAATTGATGCTGAGCTTAAAATAACACTTCTGAACACATGATGAAATCACGCCATTTGATAAGGAATGTCACCCATTGATTCGTCAACTTTGTAGATCTTTCCATGACAACAGACCAAACAAAACACTTCAGCATGGACTTCAGTGTTGACTTAGAACAATTTGGGAAAACCCAGATGTATGTCTGTAGGCCTACTGGGACAAATGTAGTTTATATAATATCAATACGCGATTTGCTAGGATTTAAAAACAGCCTTTTATTGATGTTCCAAGATATATTTAGAACAAAAATAGACTTATTGTGACAAGATATAAGTGCCTGTTTTGTTTCATTGGGTACAGCCTGCTTGCATGTGACAGAATATCAAAGTCATCTGTGAATCATTAACTTGTAAAGTTTGAGTCGGTGCCATATATGGACACTTATCTAGAGATTAATTTGCATAATGTAGTTCCGTCAAGTGGGTCATGAGATCGGTGGGCGTAGCAGCTGCAGTGCTTTAGTGTCGTCTTGGATGTCTCTGAATCAACCCGCTTCAAACCTAACTGTAAGTTTTGCCACAGCGATGGTTCAGTGCTTTTTTTTTTTTGGTTCTTAATTTGTTGGTTTCATGGATGCTAATAAACGTCGGGGGGAACCTACTGGTATTGAGACGCTTGGCAGTCACATTTTGCCGATCTCACTGACTGACGGTCAACTGTGCGTTAGTCTGGTGCAGTTTCTACCAGTGACTCGAGACCTCTTTTTCTTGAGACCAATTTTTTTGTAGGCGCTGGGCACAGTGCCTACTATGCCTATTGGGTAATCCGGGCCTGGTTTTACTCCTGAGACCTTTGAGACCACAACAAAATGCCCCATGGCTTTATTCATTTGCAAGTTGAATTACATACAAGTCTAGTCTTTATGCCAAATGTAAACGACATTGGAAGTGCAAGTTTTCATGCTAAAGAAAGAGATTGAAGCTGGAATGAAGACCAGTGTGTTACAGCTTTTCATTTATCATTGTCAAACAGGACTTCCATTTGTGGCTGGGTGATCCAAAGTACCATGGCTGCTCAATCTGAAGCAGCCTGCCAGACTGATGTCCCTACCATGATGCAACAGGAGGCACAGGTACCCACCCCCTCAGCTGCAACAGGTGAGTACATTTAGTAGCTAGACCATTTGCATGGGGTCAATGAGGGAGGGAGGAGTATTAACTCCCCCTCTTTACTCAACTCACACATTCACACACTCCCCAAGATTTTTTTTGAAGTTGCAGGTTTCAACTTTGGACAATCAGATTTCTCTATATACATGGATCTTCTTTAAAGGTAGAGTAGATCATTTGCAGCTATCCAAAAAGTAACTGACCAAATTATTTTTGAAAGCTTACTTTGGTTTAAAGATAGTAATTGGACAAAGAAGACATTAAAAGAAGTCATTACCAAAGATTGGGAATTGAACAATTTTTGGAAATTTCCATTAGTAGTTGGTTTGTAATTGGGTGAATCTGTGAATGGGTGCGCGTGAGCATTGACACGATGCACATGCGTGTGTGGTTGCTATTATTTGTTTGGTCAGTGCGTGACATAGCATCGTTGCAATCGGCTGCAATCAATTTAAAACAAGGCTCTGCAACTTTGATTTGAAATCGAGATCCTGAAAAATGATTTTCTCGGAATATACAGCATTCACTGAGCTGAAAGTTTAGCAGGTTAGTTGTTGAGCACCCATCTTTAGATTTTGAGGACTTTTTTTACTTCAAAAGAAACAAATGCAAATATGACAAATGATCTACTCTACCTTCCAAAAACGGACAACTGGAGATGTACTAAAGTACATGAATCATTTTGTTGGTATTCTTTAAAGGATGTTTGAATTCTTCTGATTTTAGAATCCCCACAACGAACTGGAGCCATCGGAAACATGGGCACAGTCAGCGGTAGAAACAATCCTACCATTGTTGGTTCAAATGTAGTCAACTTCTACAGCTCGGCGTCGGATGGAGCAGGTAAATATGATCTTGTTTGTTACACTACTATTATTGTATATTTTGTAGGGGAGGGGGATGGAAATGATATACTACACAAACATGGACACAAAAGACGGATTGCCAATTCCACGAAAGAGCCTACATTTTTTGTTGCTACGATATAAACCAGTTTGTAATAAGATATGGTGACGACATTAGGAGTCTTGTGTGTTCTTTATACATGTATACCCTCACCAAATGGCACCCCGTATTGCGTGTGTCACCTGTGGGAAAAAAAAGAAAGTGGGAAAAATGGAATCAAGTTTTGGAGGCTGCCAAATACAGTTACCAATTTTTTTGTCTGAATTTATTGTTGTCAGTGTAAAAAAACAATGTGTAAATAATATTAAACAACATCGGACAAGTTTGTGTCCAACAGATGGTACAAAAGCCAAAATATTCATTTGATTATTTTTTGGGGAGGGGGGCAAATTTATTTTTTACACTGCCTTACTAACGAACTGTAAATCTCAAGTCACCATTTCTTTTATATGTTTGCCTCAGTGGAGGAAGACTATTCAATCGTTTTAGAAACAATGTTAAACTGAAATAATACATGTACATTCAATATTGGGTTTTGCCCTCCACCGACATACATGTATTGTATAAACACTGTAAAGACAAATCTGGTGGCAGCCATTTACTGCAGTGTCAAAAAAGGCTCGCGCGAGTTGTGCTCAGGTATGTATACCCACACTTCGGGCTCCTTCGACCAATTGGAATACCAAAATGCGCGCATGCCTCGTCTTTAAGAACGCGAGCAGCATGCGCGTGAGCGTGACTCCACCGCAGTAAAAGCTTCTGATTCTAATCACTGGATTCCACTATACTTAGTGTTGTCTCGAGTGTTCATGAGAAAAAATCACTTTGGTAGGACTCGAACCCATGCATGACCTCCTGCTTACTATAACATGTACTTGTTGCTTGTTTGACCTCAACAGGAGTAAATCCACAGAGTCAGAAACCAGACCAAGTATCGAGAGTGGGGGATCTCAACCAAGAAGTCGGTAACAAGACCAGGGACATTTTGAGGACATGTTACAAGACAACGGGTAGCTATGTTCAGTTGAACCCTGGGGCTCCTGACGATCAAAGACCCATTGTTGGCATTTACACTAAATTGAGTGTTAGAACAAAGAAAGGTACTGTAGAAGAAGAATACTCTGACGAAACTGTATATTCCACAGAGTATGAGAAAATATTGAAAGATTGGCCTGAGACTGAGTTCAATCGTGCTATTTTATTTGGCATTGGTGGTGTCGGGAAGTCAACCATTTTTGACAAGATTGCATATGACTGGGCTGATGAGGCATGTGAAATCCTGAAAAGATTCAAGCTTGTCTTTCTTTTAAAAATGTATGCCCTGTTTCAAGAATCTGATCTTGTTGATTCCATTTTTGATCAACTTTTAGGCGTAAAGTCAGGAGTAGCCAAAGTTGAACTTGATAAATTCATTCAGGACAACTCAAATAAGGTCTTGATACTTTTGGATGGTTTTGATGAAATGAGGACCAAAACACTTGATGCAGCCTCATTCGGGTCTACCCTAAAAGCGCTTAGTAGAACAGAATACAGGGATTGTTTCATTATTGTGTCAACGCGCCCCTCTCATCTTGAGACACTGATGTCAAAATCACTTGTCCAAAATCCTTGCACACATGTAGAGGTTCTGGGGTTTACCAAAGAGGATGTTAATGAATACATTCTGAAATTCTATTGCGAAGATCCTGATAGTGGCAGTGCACTGATCCAAAACATTGAAAAATCCAACACGCTGCTCGATTTCTACACGAATCCAATGCTTCTCCTTCTCATGTGTTTGTTGTGGAGGGAGAAAAAAACAACTCCCCGAAACAACTTCACGCCTATTCACTGAGGCAGTTGATTACATGTTCACAAGAAAAGGATATAGCTCCGAAGATGCATCAAAAACAGTGATTGCTATAGGAAAAACTGCACTGAGTGGATTCGTAAGTGCCGACCAGAATTTCTCATTTCAAAAAGATGAGTTTGAACAAAATGCGCTGGACCTGGCACTGAAAGCAGGCATCCTAACCCAGCAGAGAGTTATCAAAAACCTCAAATGTCACAACAACATACAATTCATGCACAAGACTATTCAGGAATACTGTGCTGGGAAATACTTGCAAAGTGTACATATGTCGAACCCAGGATTTGTAAAGCGTACGGTGTGCAAAGTTGTTCCATTTGGAGAATTTCAAAACAATTTAAGGCAACTATGTCAGACAATTGAGGGTGTCGTTTCAAATGATTTCCTTTTGCGTTTTTGTTGTGGTGACAATGAAAAGTGCATGACTGACATTGTTAGATTGCTTGACCGTAAATTCAACAAGGATCGACATAAGCCCATGTACCAATCAGACGTTATACAATTAATTAGTCAACACTGTTTTTTTGAAAGCCAATCCAAAAAGATCCCACAATGTCTAACCAGCGACTCACTCATCCCATCAGATATCTGGGTGAAAAACAATACTGATGTCCGCACTCTCATATGCCTTCTCAAAATGATCTGTAGGTCAGAAGTCCAGGTGGCACAGCTGGCACGCGTTAAAACCATTCTGGTTTCTATTCGGGTGTCTTCGGTCAGCGGTTTAGCCTTCGCCCTGGGTTACATGGAAAACCTCGGGTATCTGAGGCTCGACAGGTGTCCTTTAGTGAAGGGTGATCTTGAGAAAATCCTGTCATCACTGAAATGCAACTATCTCTTGACCTGCCTTGAAATAAATGGCTGCTATACATTGGGAGGCAGAGCTGTAGAATGGGCCCCTCATATCAAACACTTGACAAGCCTTGAGATGCTAAGATTAGAGATTTGTCAACTTCAGAGCACAGACATTGGACACATTGCCTTGGCTGTACATGACATGCACAAACTTACTGACTTGGACCTTGATGGCAACAAGACATTGGGCGGATCCGCTGACTGGTGGGCCAAGGAATTGCCCAAAATGAAGCACTTAGGCCTAAATGAGCTGTACCTGCACAGTTGCGGTTTGACACAGTCAGACATTCCACACATTGCCTCGGCTGTAGGTAACATGCCCAGACTGACTGGCTTGAATCTTGGTAGCAACAGGTCATTGGGTGGATGTGCTGCGTTGTGGGCCAAGGAATTGCCCAAAATGATGCACTTAAATAAGCTGGACCTGAACTATTGCGGTTTGACACAGTCAGACATTCCACACATTGCCTCGGCTGTAGGTAACATGCCCAGACTGACTGACTTGAAGCTTGGTAGCAACAGGTCATTGGGTGGATGTGCTGCGTTGTGGGCCAAGGAATTGGCCAAAATGAAGCACTTAAATGTGCTGGACCTGCAGTGTTGTGATTTGATACAGTCAGACATTCCACACATTGGTTGTGCTGTAGGTAACATGCCCAGCTTGACTACGTTGAACGTATTTGTCGACAAGGCATTGCGTGGATCATGGGATGAGTTACAGTCCTGCTACCCGCCACTTAGGGTTACACAAAATTATGTGTGAAAGGAAATGAAATTTACAAGAAAATCAAAATTAGAGGGCCTAATGTTTTAATCCTTAGCAGGACCATTCTCAAAGGCAAAACATGGTAAAACATTCTCCATTAAGATCGTTAGTAGGGTCACATACTGCATGTAAGACAATTACCTGTTTACAATGTGACACCAGAAAATGTGACACGACAAGGATGGTGTACATTACTGTGTCTGGTTCATTTAATGGTGAACTGCATCTTTTAAGTGAAGCAAAACAGAAACCCTGAAAAGATACAAAATAGAATTTCATTAAATACACTGCTTTAGGAAATACCAATCCAGCAAAGTACATTATAAAAAGAACAATAATAATCCTTAGAGAATCTAATGCAATCAAAAGAGATAATCAAACTCGATAACACAATTTGCCTCTAACAGTAAAGTCAAGTTAAATTCAAAAATGAATTAATACAAGGCATGTGGAATGCTTTAACTTGCAAAGACAAAATAGGAAATAACTAAAGCAAATGTGCAATGACCTCTAAATATATGACTATGGACTCAGCAAACCATAGACTTAAATCAGTCCACTCATCATTATAGCCTAAGGATCCATAAAGAAACTAACTTAGGGAAAATGAATTAATATCATAAGAGCAAGATTATAGAGAAATAACATACATGTAACTAAACATTCTGCTAAACAAATATGCAGATGGCATGCTTATCAAGTATTAAAAGGGAAATATGAGCAATATACATGTATATGCTAGCATCACATAAACTTAAGGACTAGTGTGCCAGTCTAATAAGACACTACAGGTATCTGGTCACACACCCCAATAAACACTGGACAAAAGAAATCTCTGTAGGGTAATAAACCTGTCCGCACTGGACTTTTTTTGGTCAAACTAACCGAGACTATGGGTACTTTTCCCATTTTAAGTCCAGTGCGGACAGCCTAGTAGGACGTTTTCCTCTCGGTTACTTTTCCTGAGTCCAGCGGTTACTTTTACTGGCCAACTGCTGCCCAGGAAAACTTCCCACGCGCCCAGGAAAACTGACCGAGTCGCTTTTCCCGAGACGATTAGTCCAGTGCGGACAGTGCGAGTCGGTAAAAGCGGCTCAGGAAAGCGAACATCCGGCCGGAGCGCCCTGTTAAGTGTTATGCATACAGAGACCGCACGAACCTGCACGTGCAGTGGCCGAACATTTTGTAGAAACACGCTGCGGTGTATCATCAAGTCCGAGCGGTAAAATCTCGTTAAAATATATATTTCAACGGACAAATACATACACAGAGAAGAGAGATCACGTTCTGAGAATTAATTTGCGGAAATTCTCTTTCTCCACCGATGTATGTTATTTTCTACGATCCAAATTCGTCCTGATACGCTACTGTAGTCATGCACGGAACATCATGGTCCGGTACCGTACGTAGGCCGTAGTCACTGGTTCCTGGCCCACATCATAGCTTCGATTATGTAAGCATGCGATGGGAACCAACGAATACTGATGGCACTGCTGCCGCACGGAACATCGTACAGCGGCATGGCTTCGGCGACGTGCATCACAAATGCGTCATAATTATAGGCCTTTTCTATGGTGGCCCTGAAGGGACATCGCATATCGCAAACGTGTGCGCATACGTATGCGATGTCGCGAAATTTATCGCGAATGTGTGCGCACACGTATGCGATGTCGCGAAATTTATCGCGAATATATGCGCACACGTATGCGATGTCGTGAAATTAATCGCGAATATGTGCGCACACGTATGCGATGTCGTGAAACAATTCGCGAATATGTGCGCACACGTATGCGAATTTGTTTGCAATGTCGTGAATTTTATTGCATACCTTGTCGCATACCTTTCAGTAAAATTCCTAATGAACTGGGGCGTTGCAGCAGCTAGTCTGGAATCTAGACGTACTGTTAGATATAAATAGGGTCTGACTAATAAACCTTCGCGCGCACGCTGTTCCTCATGCAATCGTAGTACTGTCGAGGGCAAACTTGCTACTTGCGCAACTTTGAAATTTGCGCGCGCAAGTTTCAAACTTTCAAAGTTGCGCAAGTAGCAAGTTTGCGCTCGACAGTACTAGTAGTAACGATTGCACGAGGAACAGCGTGCGCGCGAAGGTTTATTAGTCAGACCCTATTTATATCAGTACGTCTAGATTCCAGACTAGCTGCTACAACTCCCCAGTTCATTAGGAATTTTACTGAAAGGTATGCGACAAGGTATGCAATAAAATTCACGACATTGTAAACAAATTCGCATACGTGTGCGCACATATTCGCGAATTGTTTCACGACATCGCATACGTGTGCGCACATATTCGCGATTAATTTCACGACATCGCATACGTGTGCGCATATATTCGCGATAAATTTCGCGACATCGCATACGTGTGCGCACATATTCGCGATAAATTTTGCGACATCGCATACGTGTGCGCACACATTCGCGATAAATTTCGCGACATCGCATACGTATGCGCACACGTTTGCGATATGCGATGTCCCTTCAGGGCCACCATACTTTTCGTCAAGATTTAGCGTGTCAAGATGAAATAATATCGTGTAAACGATTATGTTGTGCATGCAAATGGCGTGTGTAATATTACTGTTCGTATCGGCGGCTGAAAATGTGATCGGCAATTTGTTTTCTGTGTACGGTGAGTCATTATACTGACACTGTGACAGCTCGGTTACTTCTCCCACGCGGTCTGGGTAAATTTTCCCGTGTCGAAAGTCCAAGTGCGGACAGTGGTCACATTTGACCATATTTCATTTTACCATCGTCTCGGTAAAACCTTCCAAAAAAAAAGTCCAGTGCGGACACAGCTTAAATGGCGTCTTCCAAGAAACTGAGTGCACCTCATTATCAGTGGCTATATAGCCCAGGTTGGACAAAGTCTTCATTGCATTGCGACTGACCGTTACGTAGGGAGGAAAGGGAGTCCACCTGGGCTAAGTGGCTATACTACACTGCACTATGGACATCTACACAGCACAAAGGAACTATGAATTTATACACTAAAAGTATAAATCTAAGAATATGTAAAATAGATGATGAAGAATATATTGTAAAATAAGGAAATCTATTCTTGAACTCGGTACTCAAGAAGTTAACTAAATGTGAACAAGAAATAAAGTGGATATACATGTACATGTAATCAAAGTAAGGGAAATCTAAATCCTTCAAATCCATGGAAATAGATTATATCTCTAAACACAGAAAGTCATCAAAAGGATGCATGATCTTTCCTAAATATGCAATAATGGATACAACAACACAGTGAATCTGGGCTTCCTAAAGACCATCAATGAATGAATAAACTTTAAATTCAGTAATCAGTAAAGTTTTACTTTATGAATACTCAAGCTAACTTCGGAATTAATCAAAAAGTGTTCACAAAGTCTCAATAAAAAGAAACTTAGGAACTTTAGCAATAAGAACAACAGTATTAAAACAATATAAATGAATTCTTACCCCAGTCAAGTCATCCACAAAATCTTGACGCAACTAAGTACATATTGTGGCGGAATCTCCCGAGGTCAATTGAAACCAGAGGTCAGGGAAGGCAATCACCGACTGAGGTGAAAGTTCCCCTAACCTCAAACTATGTTTTCTGCCTCGAACCTAGGGAAGTTTTCGAGCAGCCTCTAGGCCCAGGGATGCAAGCTCGTTTTGGTGGAAATATACCGCCCAGTTGGATACTGATTACCAGGCCCTGTTACTCTAGTACAGAACAGAACAAACAGACGAAGAAACTGCAGAAATATTGGACACTGGGATACACAATTCTCTTTGTGGAAAGGAAATGATTGGTTTATTTAATCACGGACAATTCTGACTTGATTGGGAACTCTTTGATTTATTATCGTTGGATTGTTATGATTATATAAGTTTGAGCGCCTTAGCTGATCAGTATACGACAAAACCCGTGTGACAATAAACTTGACCGAGTACAGTTATTGACTACCTGTGACTATTCCTCCCAGGCCTCTATGTCAACCTCTG